AATCTCCATAGATAAATAGTGTTGTCTTTTTTTGAGTAAGAAATTCTAGAATTTTTTCAAGCAGTTCAAAAAATATGTCTAATTGGCCACTTGGTGATCTATAAATGCATACAATAATAATATGTGGATTTACAATTTCAATTGCTGCGATTTCGCAGTGTTTTTCGATTGAAATATCATTGATAAAAGTAATTTCTTTGCATGTATATTTACTTTTTAAATAAATTAAGGCTCCTCCTCCTCCTGACAGGGATCGGCAGAAGATACATTCGTCTTGGCTCGTAATCTGTTTAGGTTGAATAAGCCGCTATCAGGTCTGTACAGGATTTCCACCCCTGACGGCAGGTGACCCTCGACAAGGTGAAGTATGGATCCTAAATAGAGAAAATAGAGTAGGTGCAATAATACAGCCCTGTTTGTTGCCTGTAGCTATTTATAAAGATTCTTCTTGTCCATCGTTGCTTAGGACGGCTGCATTCATATTATCATACAGCTGGCGGAGTATCTGGATCAGATGTACTTTTGCGGACACCCAAACATTGCCAATATCTTTTGAAGAACTTCTCTGTTGACCGAATAAAATGCTTTCACTGAATCTATGAAGGCCATGTATACAGGGCGATTTTGTTTTCTGGATTTCTCTCGTAGTTGTCTTGTACTTAAAATCATGTCAGCTGTACCTCAGTTGGGTCTTAATCCACACTGACCACACTGTGTCTCTGGGAGGTTCTCTTCTGCAGTTGGAATTAAACGATGTGATAATATCCTGGCGAGTATCTTTCCCGCAACGGAAAGTCTCCCTTTTTAAAAATAGCAACTTTGGAGGTATTTCTTCAGTTCAGCAGGTATGATCTTAGTAATCCATTATTTACCTATAAGGATGTGGGTTCAGGAACTTAGTGAATTCAATTCAGCAGGAATGTCGTCAGTACCAGCTACCAGCTGACTTATTGTTTTTTAGTTGTCTGATTGTCTTTTCATTTTTCAACATCCTCTAATCCAGGGAACTCGCTCAGTTTTTGTTTTAATTGTTTCTGTGGAATATCTTTGAAGATGTCATCATTAATTTGTGATTCTCTGTTGAGTAGTTCCTGAAAGTGTTCCTTCCAACGAGAATTAATGAAGGAATTCTGTCTCCTTGAGTAGTCTTGTGCCATTTGCCATCTTTGGATCGTAGGCTCTTGGATTCAGCTAGTTGCTGCATTTCGATTGATTTTCTTATCCACCATTAGTTCTTTAATGCTCGCGTTTTCCTTTGAGCTTCTGTTTTTGTTTCCTGGTATTGCATTACAGAGCCAGGATTGTGTAATGGATAGAGATTGGTATCCCTAGCGCTATGGCACTTGCTGTCTTCTCTCTTTTCGAAATCAATAGAGAAGGGACGTCAATAGAGATAGCGAAAATGTCTCTATTCGTTACAGAATCCTAGCCCTGGGTCGCATTTCCATGCGTTATGCGCATTCACAGTCATTGAACTAAACAAACACTCTGGAACGGGCGCACTGCTTTATGCTAGTGTGCCAAATTTTGATGTATGCAACTCAGCAATACGGAGGGATTATTGTCTCGCTTACACTCATTGCGGTTGATGTAAAAGGAAGTAGAGCTTCTTCATCTTCCTAACCTCATAGTTCTCAATAGCCGCCATAGTGCAGTGAGAGATGCAAATCCCTTTTGTTTGTTGTCCTTCCTGGCACAAAACCTCGCGTAGAAACAGTTATGCAGCCGCCTTTCCAGTGTGTTTGTTTAGTTCATTCATTGTACATCGAGCAGTCATAATGGATGGTTAAAATTGTGCTCTTGTTCGGCAGCTCTGCAAGTAGGTATTGGAGTATCTATTGCAAATTTGATTTGATTTGACTTAGTTTATTTTGACTTGATTTGTTTTGTTTGCATCACATCGTTATGTTCGTTTTTGTTCTGCATGTATTTTATTAAACTTGACCCAATTTACCTCGCCCTTGATTCAGTTCTTTAAAGTTATTTAACTTAACCCCTATTATAATGCACACAAATTATAAAAAAATCCATTTTAAACTTCCACCGATGTATAGATAATATAGGTACATAATTATTATGTAGAAACAACATCCACTTTTACATAGATCATAGATCTATACAAAATCCACTTTTAGCATTCCAATTTTTGAATTTGCCGTCATTCAGTACATTTTTTTCAGATTCAGTACAACTTCTGTTCAATATGCAGTAGGATATCAAAATCGTTTGCGGCAGCCCTGGTTGGGGGTTACCGTTCCAAATTGAGAGTACTTAATTGACAATAATTGTTATGTAAAGGGAATCTCAAACCGTCAAGCTCTTGGGTATTTTAGACTGGTTGGTATAGTCTCGTGATGAACTTTAGACCAATATCAATCAACTTCTGTCTGTCAGGGTTTGGATCAAAAAATACTACAAGGTTGTTGCATAAGTCATTATATTTTCTTATCAGATGCATGCAACATTTCTTGCTTTTTCTAAACATAAAAGAAGTCGAATCACAACCTGACACAGCGTGTAAAAAAGGAATGGATTGTTTTAAATGGCCTAATTTTTTCTGAAGATTGTTTATATTGGACAGCTTTTTCGGGATGAAGTAAAAATATGTTATCCCGTACAGAATGATGAATGAGAAAAATAACGATATTAGCATCTTCCGTCACGACACGACGGTAACACTTTTTCCACTATTCGCTAGTTGTTGTACTGCAGTTGTAACGATTTATTAATCTGCAACGTTTCAGCTTTAATCACTTTGATGACTTCTGCTTCAATGAATGGTTTCAAAACTTCAATTGTCTTCGTTTCTCACGTCCGTTTCTCAGAAAATCCTCTTGTGCTATTATCTGTGTGTTCTTTAATTTTACTGATATCTCTCACATGAAATCTCTTACAACTGCAGTACAACTATCGAATAGTGGAAGGAGTGTTACCACCATGGCAGAAGATACTGATATCCTATTCTTCTTATTCATCATTTTCTACAGGATAACATATTTCTACTTCGTCCTGGAAAAGCTGCAAAAGCTGACAAAGTTAAAAATAGAAACAATCTTCAGACAAAATTAGGCCTTTTGAAATCGGCAGCATTCGTTTGCTTTCGTTCGCTGTATGAATACAGCCGTACAGGAAATAAAATGAAAAATAATATTTATAATTTTCGACAAATTTGCACTCATGCGTTTTTAACTAAAAAAGGCACTCGTGCTCTTTTTCAACTAAAAATGCATTCGGGCAAATTTCATTGCACTAGTTATATTACTATTGATAATTTCCGAAGTCAAAAATTTAGTAACTATGTTGGCAACACAAGCCTTTTCTACACAAAAAAATTGAAAGCATTGACAATTTTACATTGTATTGCCAACATAATGTCATTTTGAATTTTATGTTAAAAAAAAAAACAGGCTTTAATATAAACCTATGGATGGCTTTTATCGATTTCCGGAAAGCCTTCGACACAGTAGAAATCTGGGCAATAATAAAATTCTTGAGAAATGCCAGAGTGGATCAACCCCTGCGTTTTTATTCTCATCAAATTTTACCGATGGATCCACCATTCTCTGTCGGTCATTGTCATTTTCCATTCACTAAACAAAGATAGCTATAAGTCATCGGTGAAGCCACCGATGAGAATAAAAACGCACATATTGTTATATAAACCTCATTGAAAACATCTATAGGACTTCGACAATGTCGATAAGACTTCATGAATCGTCTGACAGAATAAACGCCAAAAGAGGAGCTCAAAGGAGGAGTTCGACAAGGGGACGTAATATCTCCAAAACTATTCACTTTAGTGCTCGAAGATATTTTTAAAAAGCTACAAAATGGGAAAACCAAAGATTGAACATACATGGTAAACGCCTGCACAATCTAAGATTTACCGACGATATTGTACTGTTCGCGAAAGACAAACCAAATAGGAATTGATAGATATGTTGGAAGAACTACAAGATGAGGCGACAAAAGTAGGATTACACATGAACTACACAAAGACGCAGTTTATTACAAATACACCAGATGCAGACGAAGCAATACCGATCCATGACAGCACAATAAAAAAGACAGAAACATACATATACCTTGGACAAGCTATAGCACTGGGCAAACAAAATCAAGAAATGGAAATTGATAGGAGAATTATACTGGGATGGGCGGCTTACGGCAAATTAAAGTACATCTTCAGCATGAATATTCCAATGACTTTGAAATCAAATGTCTATAACGAGTGTATACTGCCTGTTGTCACGTATGGTTGCGAGACCTGGGTGATAACCAGAAAAATTAAACACAAATTGGAAGTACATCAGAGAGCCATTGAAATACGAATTTTAGGAATTTCCCTGAGAGACCACAAAACAAATACATGGATAAGGGAAAGAACCAAAATCTCCGACATAATAAAAATAATTGGTTCCCTGAAATGGCAATGGGCAGGACACGTGGCCAGACATACAGAAAACTGGAGCGGGTATATCACTAGATGGAGACCTTGGGAAGAGAGAAGTGTTGGAAGACCCCAACAAAGATGGTACGACGAACTAAAGAGGGTTGCAGGCTTGAATTGGTACCGAGCTGCGCAAGACCGAAGACAATGGTCAAATTTGAAAGAGGCCTATATCCCAAGGATAGAAAACGGCTGAAAATGGATGTTCCAGATTTTTCGGTTTAACATGTCAGAAAATTGGAACAACATAGCAGAGAGCAAAATAAAAAAAATTCTGGTAAAATAGTATAGAAATTATGTGGCTGCAGAGTAAAAAAGTGGAATCATCTTGGAACGACTATGTAAAATCATGGCCCAGGTACCCCAACTCACCTGCTGCAAGATTGTGCATAATTTCTTCAAATTTACACTCTTAACAGTAGGTACCTAGAAGTAGTAATCATTTCCGATAGGGACCTACAGTAGCAAGTAAAAAGTTCGGTTTTATATACCAAAAAAAAACTTCTTTGCAATATCAATTTAGTTTAATTTTTTTTTTAAAGTACATCTTTTATAAAACAGTTACGTAGGGTGAAGCATATGCAGGATATGCAGAATAAGCTGGGTAAGCGCTGTAAGCTAGAGGAGATGCTGCGTAAGTCAATGGGGCGCTGTAGGCTGCAGAATAGGCTACTGGGCTGGCTACAAGAGGAGCACTGTAAGCTGCAGCAATGAGTCCCGGTTTTGCTTCAGGCTTAGGGTCAGCTTTCGCTTCAGGAACAGGAGTAGCAAAGGCAATAGCCAAGATGGTAACGAATACAAACTGAAAAAAAATTCTTTATTAGGAAAAATTCTACATTGGTAATAGGTTAATGAATTAATGAAAACTTACAAGTTTGTACATTTTTCTAATGTTGTGTTTGTCAAGTTGTTTGATGAACTGATAATTTTTCAAATCTACTTTGCCTTTTTATATAGTTAAATCTATTAACAGCGATAACCTTCAATGAGGTCTTGTACCATTATACGTAACTGAAGTATGTAACCAGAATATTAAACGTTGAACTCAACATATAAGATAAAGGTTGTTGCAAAGTATGTGTATTTTTTTAAATCAAATTGCAAAATAAGCTAAGAAAATAGTTAAATATTTCATATAGGCGAATATTGTATTTATACATACATGATATTATCCTTTTATTGAAAAAGGCGTTTCATTTTATCTCTGTTATTATTTTTCCTAATGATGGTATGGAAGTTTCAGCTACCTGAGCTGAGTTTTGTCTTCAATCAGAAAAACATGAGCTATTGTTATTAGTAAAAGTGGACTGACGCTATTTCAAAAATGAATCACAAAGAATTTTTTATTGTAAATATACAGAGTTTATCAAGAAATCAAGTAACTGAGAGAAGTATTAGACAATGGTTTACTGAAGTAAGAGAGTAAGGAGCAATTAGAGAATAGTGGAAAATTTTTCCAAAAATAATGTTCCAGGTATTCAACTTCTCTTGATCTATTCGCTCAGGTTTCAAAGCAAGAACTACAAGAAGGTTTTTAGATTTCTGAATATATGAAACTTACTAGTTTCATCATATTAAGTAGTTTGATTTCAAATTCAAAAAAATCGATTTCTGCTCACACATCAATATAGACGATGAGGTAATGATTTTAAATTTTCCAGAATTTTCTACCAATGAGGAAGTAACTTTAACCGTTCAAATGACAAAATATAATACAATATTAAGGTTCTATGAAGATGAAGCTAAGTATAGGTATAGTATTTATTTAAATTCCCAATATTCCAAAATAGGAATGACCCATTTTCAACGGATATTTTGTATCGGCACAAACGTAAACAGCCAAGGAAGACGAAATAAATTTTTCATGAAACACCTAGATGGCTTCACTGTGTTACTCTGGTACTAGAATTGATTAAAAAAAGAATTCGAAAACTACGTCAGTAAATCACTGAAGATAAAATGAACAAGATCAACAACGAAGTAAGCTACACGATCAATTTGAGAAAATAATTACATGAAAGAAAATAATGAAGAAAAAATTTGTTATTGGAAAAAAAAAATCTTTAAATTTAAAGACGAAACCGGATAAAATTCCTTTTATTTTGAGAGCTTTACAAGAGTGCAGAAAGTACCAGCGGTGGAAAAAAAAAACCTGCCGAAAAAGAAGGAAACAGCAGGCGTGACAATGAAAATAGAAGAAATATATCTACTACCTACAATAAAAGGAACGAAGACTGAAAAAACTCAAACATAAACTTACAAGAAATGAAAAAAAAAAAAACTTGATAAAGAGGTAGGATTTTTAAAAAGAGTTTTTCCAGTTTGAAGTCACTACTCACAAAACAAAAGATACTTCGTTTACCTTTTAGTTATGATGCGTGATGAAAGTATTGAACTTATAAAGGTCAGACCGAAAAGTACTGGAAAAAGAAAGACCAAATTAGAAAGGGAAAAGACTGAAGCTTATCAAAATTAAAAGAAAACCTGCAGCAGAGATGCGAAATTTCTGCAACTTTAATTCTTCAATTTTAGCAAGATTTTTTAATTTGAAATAAAGAGAAAATGATGACTAGCGGGTCTTATTCAACACACAATTCGAGCCAAGGCGTTGTTTCTGAACAAAATTCTTTACCTTTAGTCATCACTTTTTATTTGACATCTAGATATTTCGAGGTCCTATCATTCCCAGATTATTGAACACCCTAACATTAATAAGTATACCTGATTTGCAGATATTTATGCAATACTAAGATGTTTAAGTTTTAGCTTACTAACAAAAAGAGTAGGTATTAAATTCAAATTTGTCTCATAGATGGATAGATTGAATATGATGAAAAAATAGGAAAGTATGTAATGACCTTTGGTTTCCGAACAAACTAAGGGCCAAAGGAAAAAATGGGAAAACGGTAAAAAATAATATAAATAGAACAATTCTAATTTTGTATCTTGAATTTGACTTTTTTTTTCTGGGTTAGTCAGAGTTAAACCTCCTCTAATACTTAGCAAATGCTTGTCTTGCAGCACAAAATGCAACTGAACCAAAATATTTTTTTTAAATACTTAGGATTCCACATAGGTACTTGCTTCCCAAAACCTAATTGTTAATGCAGAGTAAACACTTAAATAACCAAAAAAAAAAATGCCATTTTGCAACAAAACCAATCGTGTCACACAAAAGAGTCTCGAATCTATGCTTTTATGTCAAGCGCATCACACGTCGCATACTAATTAGGGAACATCTTCAATTATTATTCGTTTATTACTAAATTTTTTCGTCCTAGAACTCAAAACTGATGTGGTTTTAAAGGTTTTTTTAGTTTAATTTGATAACAGTGGGGTCAATTAAACATGATATATAAATGTGCAACGCGAAATTGTATGCATTATCAAACAATCAACATCGGTAAACAATTAAAAATACAAAGCAAATTCAGTCAAGATGATCAAATTTGTAAGTACTTGAATGTAGCTATTTCCTCAATAACAAATATTATTTTTTCCCCCTTCAGGTCACTTTTCTTGCTTTTGCCATCAGCCAAGTCCTATCTGGCGCTGTAGAGGTCTTGCCCGCAGCTGCTGTTGCACCAGTAGTAGCCCCAGCTGTGGTAACATCACGCAGCAGCCAATACTTTACCCAAAACCATAACGCTTTAGCTGCTCCTTTGGTTGCACCTGTAGCTCCTGTCGTTGAAGCTGTAGCGCCTGTTCCCGCTCGCATTGAAGCTGTCGCACCTACTGCCGCAAGAGTTCAAGCTCCATTAGCCCAATACATTGCACCATCGTCATCTTCATTCAGTCAAGTAATTCGCTATGGCCAATACGTAGCACCAGCACCATACTTTGCTGCGCCCTATTTATCTGCTCCATTAGTTCAAGCTCCATTTGTAGCAGGAGCGGCACCTCTTGTAGCTAAATCTGTGGTTGCACCCCTGGTAGCAAGAGGCCCAGTAGCTGTACCAGTTGCTCAACCAATAGCTCCAGCTCAACCAGTGGCTACTCCTCAACAACCTCATTTAAATCCGGTTGTTCCAGCACCTAATCCTGATGCTGAATCCGTGGATATCGAATCAGCTAGACTTAGAGCGTTGCCTCAAACGATAAATGAGCCAGCCGAACAACAAAGACAGCAACTTCAACAAAGTTTCGCTAGACTGCAACAACAGCTTAGAGCTCAACAAAATCAGCGATCTGCTCAATCCCAACAAACTCAACAAGAAACTCGAGCTTCAGCTAGGAACCAGGCTCAGCCTCAACAACAATCAGCTGCTCCAGGATTTTTGAGCCAGGAACAATTCATCCAAGGGCCTTATTAAATTTTGCTTAATAATGTTTGTAAATACTGATGTAAATAGATTTTCGTTAAAAAATATATTTGTTTGACTCTTAGTGTTCGCGTTTTTCACTTTGTAAAATTCAATAGCAAAAAGCTTGACACAAGCTTCAACCCCCTGGCCGGTTGTCCTTTGGATGTGTTTCCGTCCGAACTGCATTCGTCAGAAATCGAACGAATACTTTCGTCGGATTTCGGATACGTGATATCGTCCACTGAACAAGTTTTTGCATTGCGAAGTCAGTCTTAACGTAGTGGAGTAATATGGACAATTAGATATCTTTTGGAAAATAATTATCTTTATTTACGACTAATGTATAATGTGCGTATTATATTTGTGATTTTGGCAGTATAATGACATATGTTATTCCTCCAGGGATTAATGACGAGTAGCGGGATTAATGGTCATTATTCTACAAAAGTGTCAGTGTCAAACGTGTAGTGCTTGTGGATTTGTATTGAAAATTATGAGACGGATGAAATTTGTTCATTGAAAATCTCAAATACATTAATTTGTCGTAAATAAAGTAGAGTATACTACTCGCAATAATGGCTATTATTCCCTCGGAATGTTACTCCCTTGCCGCTAACGCGGCTCAGTTCGTAATAATCCTCGGGAATAATAGCTATCATTATTGACTCGTGGTATAATCTACTATTATTAGACGAGGATTGTTAAAAATGAAAAAGTGCTGGACTAATGATATTTTAACACAAGGAAAAAAATTTGGAGAATTTCAACGCATTTCAACTGCCCCTTCTTACCACAGTTTTCTCTGCATGTGTCTCATAGTCTCATGTGATATTATTTTTCGATCATATCCAAAAAGTCCGCTGTCAATATATGGGTATATTTATTAACTAAATTTTCACGCGCCTGCATTTTGGGCCATCAGACTACAATAATAACCAGAACAAAGACTATGGAATATGAAATCAACAATTATTCCTGTAGTAATTTGAGTGGAGCAACAGGATTGATCTCAAAAAGTACTGCAGAAGCTATCAAACTCATAACTGGAAGTACAATCTCAATATTCTTCAAAAATCTGTTAACTTGAGCACTGCACATATGGTGCGCAAAGTAATCTTAACCGCACACCATAGAGATTCACCCTATGATCAAAATCTGTTCTCAATGGCTCTCCTTAATTACCACGGCAATAACTGGCTGCATGATAGCAAGCAAATGATAATAAAAATAGGTGGTTTTCTGCATAGTATCTGAGACTACGATTGAGATTTTTTTGTGAAGTTTGGTTGCATTCACCGTGTCTGCAGCCATGTTTCTTTCCTTCGTAAAAGTTTTTTCTATTCCAGAAGGTATTTTTCCTAAGGGTCTGATATTCTACATCCTTTCTGGAGAAGCTGGTCAGCATCCTTGGATTCAACCGCTGATATTTTAGGTGCCAAGTCGTCTGTAGGTGCTCCGTGATTTGGGTTGAGTCTGCTCAAATTTTTTTCAGGTTTTTGGCTTTTTTTCTATTTTTGGTTTAGTTTGCTCCTATATATAATGGAAAAGTGTATTTATAACAAGAATTTCACGGAGTAGAATGATTTTTGATCCCCCCGCCAGCGCCGGATTAAGGACTGTGGAGGCCCCTGGGCAGAACTCCCCTGGGGGCCCTGCCTCCTACCATTCGAAAAAAAAAAACGAAAAGTTTCACTTTACTTTTATAAATAGGTACCTATTCTGAAATGATATACAAAATACAAACTAAAGAACAGTTATTTGTACAAATACAGAGAAAAATATGAAAAATAAGATTAGAGAGTTTAGTATCAAGATGTGAGAATAAAGTCCTGGCACTTTTCTAGATTTTTTTATTTGAATTAAAAAAACATTTTTGAATCTCGAAATTTTTAATAAGTATATTTTCTAGAGGCTAGAGGCTAATAATAGTGTATTCAGTAATTATTTTTTTGTTGCAAACGTAATTAATACAACATTCTTTGATAATTAACAAAAGGTGACACATTCGTCACAAATAATTATTGTTACAACCGCAAAAAGTAAAACCAGTGGACGCAATAATCGTGTGTCTAGTTCGGAAAGTACTCCCTTGAATACTAATCAGGAAATCGTCTGCAATCAGTTTTGTGGCATTCAAAAAAGAAATTTCAAAAGTGACCCAAAAACCGAATAGACGCCTAGGTGGGGCCCTCTTAGTGGCGTTGATATATATATATTGATATGGCCGTACGAAATTTAATCATTGTATATCTAGTTTTGTGATCTACAAACATCGACAACCCTTTAAAAAACACAATGTTCAAGTTCGTAAGTAGATTTTTTTTTAAATTGTTTTTATTTTGATTCCATTATTAATGTAATATCATTTGCTGCTTTCAAAAATTCCCGTACTCAGTTGAAAATCAGGTTACACAAAATGAGTTACTCATCCATATTACATTAATTTATTCCTAATTTACTAATGTATTGGTATTTTTTTTAAATTCAATTTCGTAGCAAGCCTTAATTTATTTTTTTCGAAATAGGTTATTTTTTACCCACTTCTAATAACAGTTAAATCGGGGTTGAAATCACGAGTCTTTGGACGATTCTCTTTAAAGATTTATTACTGAAATCTTGCATTACAACGGATCATCAACCTCGGTGGCAATGAAAATTATTATTCTCTAACATAATTTGTAGTAGATAATTCAATAGTTTTTTTTTTCTACAGCTGGAACTGAATAATTAAATTTGTAGAATATGAAATTGAACATCAGATATGCCCTTGCGTACATATAGTTAGCAAATGAATTATATTTTTTTGCCAATATTTGATATAAAATTAACCTAAAGAGTATATGAAATTATCTCTCTTTTCAGGTCGCCATCTTAGCTCTCGCCATTTCTTGCGTAGTAGCAAAAGCAAAACCATCCGTATTAGCAGCACCCTTCGTAGCTCCAGCCGTAGTCACAGCTCAAAGCTCTCAAGTCATCGCCAGAAACTACAACGCTCTGGCAGCTCCTCTGTTAGCTCCAGCTCCAATTGTTAGAGCCGCTCCTTTCGTGGCTCCTGCTCCTTTGGTTAGAGCTGCTGCTTCCGCTCCTTATTTGGCTGGTCCTTCACCATATCTGGCTGGTCCTTCACCATATCTGGCTGGTCCAGCACCTTTGGTAGCCGGTCCTCAACCTTATCTAGCTGGTCCATCTCCATATTTAGCTAGCCCTTATCTGGCTAATCCTTATGCTGCTGGTTTGGTGCTCTAAGATGGCACGTAGTGAATTTATTGTGATATGATTTTTGTTGTAGATATTGTAAATAAAAGTACTTGTTATTAATTATTTGTTTTTTACTTGAATGGCACTAAATTTATTTCCAAAAGAAATTGGTGTATACTTGTAAGTTACCGCGAATTCCGCGAATAGTCTACGCAACGAAATGTATAAATAGCAGTTAAAATATTTCATCGTCCTCCTACCCCCTTACCCATCCGCTACATTGTCCAAAGTTACCTAATAGGATTCATGACATAGCTAATCTAGGATTTTTATCCCAAATTTGGTTAAAATCGGTTTAGGCGTTTTTAAGTTATCGTGTAGACAGACCATTGAGATACAGACAGACAGACAGACAGACAGACAGACAGACAGACAGACAGATAGATAGATAGATAGATAGATAGATAAATAGATAGATAGATAGATAGATATATAGATAGATAGATAGATAGATAGACAGACTGACCGACATCGAATCAGATGTTTTGGAACCGAAATATCATATTTTGGATGAAATTTATAATCCGGTCAAAATACTTCTAAAAATAGTAGTACACTACTATTTTTTTTACAAAATTCCCATAGAGCTGAAAATTGGTATGAATGTTCGGAACACCATTATTGTTGAAAAGTCCCCATCGATCCCGTACCTGGATTTTTTTTTATTCAAGGTCAATGCCTATTCCACGGTCCATTGTGATCCTGTTTAATTTTAACACATTGACGGGCGCCTGGCAAAAAAGTGGACCATGTGGGGGCCACTATAATCTAATATATAAAATATAGATATATAAATATGAGCTACAATTTTTGTCTAACCTAATTTTATGAAATGATAAACTTACCGTTTTGTCGAAAAACGCGGAAAACCCATTATTGAGACCATAGACCTTGAATAAAAAAAAATCCAAGTACGGGATTGATGGGGACTTTTTAACATTTATTTATAATGGTGTTCCGAACATTCATACCAATTCTCTGCTCTATGGAAATTTTTGTACTCTTGCATGTTTAAATTGACCGGAGTATTAAAAAAGTGAAAATTTTACGATTTTAATAGATTCCATCCCCTTTCTTCCCCCTCGTGCATACAAGATCCACCACATTATCCAAAATTAATAGGGTTCATGACATGCTAATATAGGATTTTTGTGCCAAATTTGGTTAAAATTAGTTAGGGCGTTCTTGAGTTATCGTGTATACAGACATGCAGACCGACAGACAGACATCTTTTTTTTACCGATTTAGGTGTTTTGGGACCATTTGGTACCCAAATAACATATTTTTGATGAAATTAAAAAAAGATTATCCCTTATGGATAATTCACTTTTCATCGGAATACCTATAGGTACTTATTGTAGATATGCTATGCATGTATTAATCGAATCAATAATAGAAATGTCATTGAAATATTCAACTCAAAATTATATTCCATATTAGCTCGATGATATTAGCCTATCCAAAACACGTGACTTTGACAAGCAAAATAAGGCCGGCAGAAGGAACACAAACTACTATTTAAATGCACTATTTGAATACACTATTTCTAACACTAATAAAATCAACAGTTTTAGGTATAGCAACGCCAATAATTCACAATTAGCACTATTTAAAACTCATAACATCATTTGATAACACATAAACAAAGGGTTTGTGTGCCTCTTGGCGGATATCTTAACATGAAAATTTGGATTAATTTCGCCTCTATCCAATCTCATCAGTGTGGCTAGGAAAGCAAAGAAGCACAACCC